CCGGGTGCACCCCCCGGCCTGTAAAGGGGTGATAGGGGTATGTGGTGAGCAGGACGGCCGAGGGACGTGAGAGAACGTCGCGAGGCCGGTGGTACGATTGCTAATGAGCAGCACCTGTGAAGCACACCGGTCTCGCATCTCTCACGGAGGAGCGGAAGCATAAAGGAGGAGCGACGGAGTGGCTGAGAGAGAGGAACAGGCCTGCTTTTGTTTGTGCTTTGTTTTATTTTATTTTGGTAGCCAGCAGTCGTCCGTGAGGGGCTGCTGGCAGGTATTTTGTTTATTTCGTTTAAATAAAGTTTTATTTTGATTGTCCGCCGGTTCCCGCCTCCTTCTTCCCTGAACATTGCTACAATATACACTAAACACTTGCAACAAATACATTTGCAGAATACACAATACATTATTTTTGTGGATGCAGTGAGAATCCTAATAATCAAACTAAATCATAATAATTATGGATTCCAATAATAATAATAATATAGGGAACCCACAACAATAAAAAACAAAAACAAAACAAAAAACCTGTTTTTAAATTAATAGATAATAACAAATGAGATTTCAGTGGTATTTTGACCACTCAAATAGGAACTGTCCCCGGTTTCCATTTTCAGAAATCTGGTCACCGTACTATATAAATACACATGTAAATAAATTAACTAGACACGGGTGAGACACGTAAGGGCAAATCAAACACCAATGACAAAGAAAACTGAACAAAACTTACAGGCTAAGTAACGACTCAAAGTCCTGGTATCTATTTGAAAGAAACCAAGCTAGTGACTAGATCTATTAAAGGCACCCAAGAGCATCCTAGACCAGTGTAACAAGACCATAATAGCGAGATCCATAAACTAGCTGCACAGCTTTGTTCATACGCACACTGACTGGACTAAAACAGGTATAAATAGTGTATCACAACATGCTACTGCTTATTTAATGGTGGGATCAGTAGTTTTTGAAAAAAACTTTTGGCCAATGTTGATATTTGAAATCACCAAAACAAACACGCCCCTACCCCAAAAGTATCTCGCCCCTAATTTGATAGCTCCACCCCACAATTACGTACGCGACCGTAACCCAGGCAACGACTATGGTGGAATCTGCCGTCATCAAATAATAATAATCAGTGAAAGCAATGTGTTACTATGGTAATCCATGTCGAAAGTGTATTGGTTGTAATGTGTGTTTTAATGCGTCAATGGTTCAGCTACGTTTTACGTGGAAGACGACGCTCAACACCCATCCCAAAAACACAAAGTTATCATGATCAACTCGATAGCATGAGAACGACAGTCATAGTAATGATAATATTACAACTATAACACGATTTGGGGGTTATATCGATCACAAAAGGAAGCAAACATAGCCTACATTAGGAGTATTTTATCTTACTTTTCAGACACACTTTGGAAGCCGACGCTTGAAACAGACAGTGAAGGAGGTTTAGATGCTCCAGGCTTATATGGTGTGGAAATGAATGTGTCTTTTTCATAGCTGAAGCGAAAGACAATAAGCAAAAATGATGCACAAGCATATTCAAGCAATGGCCAGCATATATTAGTTCTGAGAAACAAAGCTAAAAAAATGTACTCAATTACATCTTCGCTGTGTACCTCATCGTATAAACTGTCTGATGTCCCACTCTCCTCTTCCACTTGGTCTGTCTTTGAGTCTGTTAGCCTCAATTCTTTGATCGAGACTATGTCTCATCTGAAGCCAACTACGTGCCCCAATGACGTTATTCCATCTCGTTTCCTGGGGCAAGTTATTGAGACTGTCGGCCCTGACCTGTTGTCTGTAATCAACAAATGTCTCCGTACTGGTACGGTACCTTTTGATTTTAAACTGGCCACAGTGCGACCCCATCTTAAAAAAACTAGTCTGGACTCCAAACTATTGGCTAACTTTCGACCTATCTCAAATCTACCATTTTTATCTAAGATTTTAGAGAAAATTGTTTTAAATCAACTTCAGTCCTATCTGACTATCAGTTCTATTCATGAAAAATTTCAATCTGGCTTTAAACCCCGCCATAGTACTGAGACAGCGCTCCTAAGAGTTTTAAACGATATCATGCTAACCACTGATTCTGGGCAGTCTATGGCGTTTTAGTACAGTGAACTCATTGTCATGTTCAAGAAACCAATTTGAAATGATTAGAGCTTTGTGACATGGTGGAAGTAGCCATCAGAGGATGGGTACATGGTGGCCATAAAGGGATGGACATGGTCAGAAACAATGCTCAGGTAGGCCCTGGCATTTAAACGATGCCCAATTGGCACTAAGGGGCCTAAAGTGTGCCAGGAAAACATCCCCCACACCATTACACCACCACCACCAGCCTGCACAGTGGTAACAAGGCATGATGGTTCCATGTTCTCATTCTGTTTACGCCAAATTCTGACTCTAACATCTGAATGTCTCAACAGAAATCGAGACTCATCAGACCAGGCAACATTTTTCCAGTCTTCAACTGTTCAATTTTGGTGAGCTCTTGCAAATTGTAGCCTCTTTTTCCTATTTGTAGTGGAGATGAGTGGTACCCGGTGGGGTCTTCTGCTGTTGTAGCCCATCCGCCTCAAGGTTGTGCGTGTTGTGGCTTCACAAATGCTTTGCTGCATACCTCGGTTGTAACGAGTGGTTATTTCAGTCACTGTTGCCCTTCTATCAGCTCGAACCAGTCTGGCCATTCTCCTCTGACCTCTGGCATCAACAAGGCATTTCCGCCCACAGAACTGCCGCTCACTGGATGTTTTTTCTTTTTCGGACCATTCTCTGTAAACCCTAGAGATGGTTGTGCGTGAAAATCCCAGTAGATTAGCAGTTTCTGAAATACTCAGACCAGCCCTTCTGGCACCAACAATCATGCCACGTTCAAAGTCACTCAAATCAACTTTCTTCCCCATACTGATGCTCGGTTTGAACTGCAGGAGATTGTCTTGACCATATCTACATGCCTAAATGCACTGAGTTGCCGCCATGTGATTGGCTGCTTAGAAATTAAGTGTTAACGAGCAGTTGGACAGGTGTACCTAATAAAGTGGCCGGTGAGTGTATATTTTATCTGACCATAAATAACTTTTAGTAGATAAATGACAACTACTACCACAACTATTACAATCTATTGGGCTGCTACAAGGTTAAGGGGGTTTCGGGGGTATTTCCCCTTAAGAAAATTTTGTGCATTTTAATGTTAAATTCATCAATCTGGTGCACTTTGAGAGTTCAAAACTAAAAGCTCCAACCCATATTCAGTGTGCAAATTGAACAAAGAAAAATTCAAACCTCTTTTAATTACAGTGTATGTCTATTACACTACTACATTTAATAGATATAATATTAATCCCATGACAGTAATTGCCATAGGCTATATTGTAAAACAAATGCACTGAAAAATAAAGGAAACTTTCATGAGTAGCCTATTGTACAAATTTCTATACTTGAAAGTAAGTTATATATTTGGAAGTAACCCAGCGCCGCCAATTAAGCAAAACAAAACAAAACGAATGGGCCGCCGATGTACGAGTTTTATGGGCCGTTAAGACAAAAATAGAAAAATAAAAGTATGAGATGTATGTATCGGCCCAAAAAGCACGTCGGGCCCGCGGGAATGATCGGTTGTCCCGATGGTCAGAACTTTTGACACCTTAATGGATGAGATGAGAAGACTTACCTCTATACCGGGCTTTATTTTTATCTTGTTGCTTTCTCCGTTTTCGTCCCTGTGCACCAGAGGGTTTAGACCGCTTCATTTTCGATCAGCGCGCGCAGCAGCCGAGCACTTGCCTAACGTAACGTAACGCAACTAACCCCCGCCCCCCCTTTAGGAAATGATCGATAATAATCATCCATTCAATCTAATAATCAGGTTGACAAGTAATTAAATGTATGGCTGAGGGGCGCCTTAGGATGATCATGTTTAATAAACATGTTTTTGTTTCGCTTGTCATTCTAATTCTATGATTAATGGGAAGTAGCCCAAGGGCGACACTAGAGGGCGCCCGCACCCCCAACACATTTGTCGCCCTAGGCAACCGCCTAGTTCGCCTATAGCAATCGCCGGCCCTGCGATAGGGGGGTGCGAAACGACCACCATTCAACCCGAAAAGAGTAATATAACCATTCCAATGACTCCGAAGCTGTTCGGTTGAGATAAAAAACCTGCATAGTTCACCTTTAAATTTTAAGTTCTGCCGACATTTTTCTCTTTTGTTTTTTATCTGCCATCTCTCTCTTTCTGTAGTTTGCGCTCTCTCCTCCCCATCATCAGTAGACACGCCCCTTACTGCTGATTGGTTACAAGTGTGTTTTGGTACTTGGTCCAACACAGTTTTCAAAAGTGTTTTTCCAAAACTCCACCCTTAAAGACCTTATGAAATCAACAAAAAACATTTTTTGTGGCTTTAGCTCATCTCTATCAGCTCCACTATGGTAGGCTATACTATGGTAGTGGACTGTTTTGCATATGTTTACATAATTGTCTTTTAGTAGACATTTGTGTAAAACATCTAAAATAGTTGTATGACTAATTAATAAATTATTTGTATAAAATATTCTACTTCCAGGAAACAAACCAGAAATATTGATGACTCATCTTGCAATTATAGGGGCGAAAAAAATGTGCAATAAATTCATATAACTAAAAGCATGACAAAAGTAGTGGATAAAATGTGTAATATGATTTGTCTTAATTATACAAAGCTCTGAGGAAATTGAACTGAACCTAATGAACCTAAGTGAAATAAATAAATAAAAATCAGTTTGGATTCCAACGAAAATTCAGGTTTGGAACAACATGAGTATTGTGAAATAGTAACATAATTTTGTCTGAACTATACTTTAATTGTTTAGCGGCGCACTGCCAATGGGTCACCGTAGCCTTCATCTAACTAACTGCTTTGTAACGATCCACGGCGATGTATTTATACCCCCCTCCGAGCGGGAAATTTGTCGCCATCCAGCACCAATCTGTGCGTGAGAGAAGGAGGGGGCGGGAAGGTTCGTTTGATGAGGGCAGGCTTACCAACGTTACCAGCGCTCCCCACTACCATTTTTTTCAGCATCTGAGGCAAATACTTGAAAAATTCACCCATTGGACTTGAAAGAATTTGCTGGAAAATAAGTGGAAAGACAGAGGTGGAAATCAACTGCCAGAGCTCAGAAAGTGTCTCAAGTCCGTCGGAGGAAAAAAAGGATTTATCTCTGGTGAGGTGCATTTCATATTATTAAGATTGAATGGTGCGTAAAACGTGTGTCATATGGATTTGAAGATCGGAAAACGTCGTTAAAGGCACGTCTTTGTAAAATCCCGCAGTGTTTTATTCACGAGTAAGTGGTTTTGAGAGGAACATGTCATTTGTTTGAAGGTTTAACAGGTCTCCTCCCGCCACCGCAGACCGATACACTGACGTGAACCTGACCAAGAGCAAGAGCTTATCACGGGCAAGACTGACGAATGTTACTTTGAGAGGATATCACTCAAATATAGGATGCATTTTTTTTTAAAGATGAATTAGTCACTCTATCGATCGGCATTTTATTCACACTGTTGTAATATAGGCTACTAGCTAATGATGCGACATAAAGCTTTTGTTTTACTGAGGTAAAAGTGAACGTGTAACTGTTGTGCGTTTATAGTGGACATTTTTCTAATAGGAAATGTGGGAGAAATTTGCATACTCTTATAACGTATAACCTTGAATGAAAACTTGTACTACATTTCCTGATTTTGTTTTTCTATTCAAAATTCCAATGTGTTATCTGGTAGAAATGTGATATTGTGGTCATATTCGGAACTTAAATATTTTAATATGACTACGAATTAACTCAGTTTAAAAAACTACATCTTAGTGTTGGAAATTCGATCGGTCAGATCGCAGTTTGTAAGAGATAACACTTGGGTTGCGCGTGCGTATTGTGTAGTTTGTTCTGTCTGCTGGTTTTCAATCGTGACAAATCGTTTCAGTCAACAAATAGCCTATTCTGGTTCTTATGGAGTTACTCTATTAACGCGCCCAACAGTAAAGCGCGTATGCAGCCAGTTCCTAATGCAAGCGAGCTTGCTTTCCAAGCAGCAATGAATGGAAGACGTTTGAATATTTAGAGAGAGAGAGAGAGAGAGAGAGAGAGAGAGAGAGAGAGAGAGAGAGAGAGAGAGAGAGAGAGAGAGAGAGAGAGAGAGAGAGAGAGAGAAATGGGTCTTTAGTGCGCAAACATGAAGCGCCTTGGAAATGTATGAAAACACTTTATCATGTACTGTAGGTCCTGCAATTACAAAATCATCAACATTTTTGCAGTTTTCATTATAGGCTAATGTTAAAGGAATATTTACCCCAAAATAAGAAATGTCATTATTTAATCATCATCATGTTGTTCCCAACTGGCCATCCGTCTTCCCAACCGTATACAGTAGGACAAGCGGTTTGGAAAATGGATGAATGGATGTCGTTTCCACGATTTTCTTTCTGCTATTTCATGTATCCTGATGACATATCATATGTCTGTATGAGGAACAGAAGGAAAATGTTAAATTCTTCCTGTTTACTGTATAGCATTTAAATCTCATTAATGTTGGCAAATTAATTGAGTTTCATTATGAATTAGACATGAGATCCAATGATGTTTGACATACTATCAGCCCTTGTATGATGTGCCTTAAAGTGCCATGTTTGACAAAAGAGAAATTAATTTAATCATATCTAGTCTTTTGGCTTTAATTTGAAAGAAAGTGTCAAAAAAAAGAGCTCATTTTTAGAGCTCAACAGGCCTTGTTCATGTTTTGTCCTGTGTCTCATGGAAGCAGCTCTGCTTTTAATGTTTGCTCTTAGTTAGACACACTTCTTCATTATTGATTCTTACACTTGGTCAAATAAATGAGTCTACATACATTGAATACAAATCCAATCCAGCGCTATACAAACTCAACAGAGTTCAAGTCACTTAAAGCAACAGATATGTGCTCCATTTTATTTATCATCAGCTGATTTCAAGATCAAAGACTGTAATAGGAGAGAGAGGCTCTTCCTCAACAGAAGAGAGAATTTAGTGTTCCACTGTTAATAAAGATGCCTTTGTGTTGAGATTCAGGATGTAATGCAGAACATTGAGTTTCATTTTCAGCAGTTCTGCTCATCTCTGGTGAGCCATATCTGTGGAGATGGAGATGCTTGTTGCAAGTAGTGCTGTGAAATCTGGCTACTGGGAGCCAGTATAACACACTTTCACACATTAATTTTTTACCTATTAGTCTGCTGTGGCGAATTTGCTTTTACATTTGTACAGTTGCATATGGAATGTGTCTCAAATCACCTCATAAAGTGAAAGTGTCTTGAAAGCGTTTCAGATCGCATTTAAACCTAGTCTTTTCACTATAGCTATTTGATCAGAGAAAACGCATGATATGGCCAAGTGTAAATAGTCACTAGGACATAATATGAACGGTCATTGCTAATAGGATCTTAAGAATCAATACAATATTGTTAGAAAAAGTAGAGTGATTATTTTTAGATATATAATTGTATCAACAAAGCCCTATATAATAAACAGTTAAATGTTTGATTCCAGAGTGTAAAAGGCTTATTTTTTCAGACAAAAAGTCTGTGATATTTCATGTTGTGTGTAATTTTGTTTTGTACTTATTTTGATGTTTAACCCTCTGGGGTCTGAGGTGTTTTCGGGGTCCTTGAGATGTTTTGGCATGCTCTGACATTTCTGCTTTTTTCAGTTGCTTATAAACATATTAATGGCACAGGTGAAATTACACTCTATATAGCACACACAGGGCTACCATAATATGTGAGCAACATGTATGTACATGTTTGTATTTTTGAGAGAATATTGTTTATGCGTGGTTATTGAAAAAACTAAAAAATAAAGTTTCTAATATAAGGCCACAAATAACATACTAAATATCTGTCCACAAGACTTTTGACAAGTGGATGTTGTTGCCTAGAGTTTTTGCTTCAAATTGATCTGAAAATCATTCTGCCTAATCATTCACATAAAACAATAGATTGTTTTAAATTGTGAAAAACATTTTTTTGTTTGCAAAGGCAATATGCGGATGGGCGTGAACGACCCAACCCCCTCATGAATAATTAGGCAGTTCTCACCTGAGCAGACTGCATACTAATGAGCCTTTCATTCAGGGGTGTCACACAAGAAAGAATGCAAGGACAATATATATATATAAATAAATAAATATTTACACACACACACACACACACACACACACACATATATATATATATATACAAACAATCAAAATATAAATGAAAGCCAAAAGCACATTTTTAGTCACCTTTTAGCCATCCACATACCATTTTTAGCCATCCACCGCGGTAAAAATAAACCAGTCGCATTTCAAAGTCGTTCGCGAAATGACCGCCAGGTGGCGCAAAGGGACATTTAGCAAAACGTAAGTGGGGCTAATGTCTGTAGCCTAAGGATGAAATACTACAAGTTATGGTAATTTCCAAATAAGCCTACAACAAACATTTATAGCCTACTCCGTAATTGTTGGTCATACAGATAAGATATAATCTTTTAAAACTGTAAAAGGCTAAAGTATAGGCCTACACTCACAGGCTAAAGACAAAACGTTTTCTCGCTCATGTGAGAAACAGACGTTCGGGTATTTCTCAGTGAGAAAATTCATAGCCGAGCGGTAGAACTTACGTTTAATCATCAAGATGACACGGGTTCAAATCCCGCACAAGCCTGGTCTGTTGTAAGTTTTATATTTATTTAGATTTGTCCAGCTCTAAAACTCTGTTACACCATACAGTTTTTTTGCTTATATATATAAAATACAATTATCATGCATTTCCATTTTACACACAAAATAGTACCCAACAGAACGACTTTGCATCTGTATAATAATAGGCTACCAATCGTAATTTCAAAAGCAGTTCTGTAATAAATCAATTATATATAGCCTATATATATATATATACTATATATATTTTTTTTTCAGGGCTGCCAACTCTCACGCACTGAGCGTGAGACTCACGCAATTGACCCAAATCTCACGCTCTCACGCCACACCCCCGATTTCTCACGCTGAAGTGTCAACCCGGTCGGTCAAATTCCTAAAAGATATAGTTTATCTATAGATCTACCTGTTGAGCCACTCGTGATCGACTAGTTATACCGCAAATTAGTTAAAATATCCCGTAATCTATCTAGAGCGAGCGTGCATGCGAGACAGATTGTGCTCCAAACCATGCGCGCGCATGGCAGAGAGGTCTGTTCCCTACAACCTAGAGTTTTAAAAAACATGGTTTTAAGTAAAGTGTGATTTGCCAGGGGGGACAGGGATTTCCTTCTGGTCTAAACATCCCTGCTTCTGCTGAATTATTTTAATCCCCACACCCCTCCCTCCACAGCTAATCAATGCTATAGGCTACTTCACCAATATCAAATATATAAAATAGAGATATGCAACAGGCACGTTTAAACGACAAACAATAAAATCAAAACCAGCGTTTCAGTTGTTCATTAGTTCCAGTGGCCCTAATGCATGCACGGCTTTTAAAAATTTCACAAAGCGTGTTGATGAGATTATTTTGAATGAAATATTGAAGTTTATAATTAAGTGTTTTGGCACACCACGCCGAGTGGCCCTATGCATTTTTCTAAAGTCGGGTTTTATTCTGGCATGGTGAGTTAGTGTTCGACAAACGCGGCGGCGCGTTCATTTAGATTAATTTATTTTTCTCATTATTACAGCTAAAATAACTTAATAGGCGATTCCGTAATTTTTTGGTCATACAGATAAGAGTAGAGTAGCCTAGCTTACATCGTTCAAAACTGTAAACTTGTATTCATATTAGGCTAACGACAAAAACAGTATAGCTATCTGTCGTCTCTGTCTCCGGGAACTGCGCATCACAAAAATGAACCGAAAGCCACTTCAGCTCAGTCACGATAAGAAATCGGCTATGTCTAAAGCCTTTAAATGTCTAAATATTTAGGCTAATAAATGTTATCTGATTATGTAGGCTAATCCATATGAAAACGAGAGGTACAGAGGATCTACTCAAACGTAAGCGCTTCCCAATGAGAAAATGACAAGACAAGGGTGAAAATCTCGCTCTAATTAAATGTAGGCTAAATCGCCCTGAATTAAAATGTAAAATGTAAATGCAAATGTAAAAACGAAATGTTGCGATATTGTTTCATTTAAGTTCATAATTATTCTATAA